TAAAAAGAGACTCTCAGTTACTGTTTTTGTGTTAAATACAGTTGCTGGGTGTTTTTGTAATAAAATCATGGATGTTCTTGCTTTTTTTTTTTATTCTTATCGAATAGTTCTTTTCATTTTACTGTCTTTCAGAGATCATATTTGAAGTACCTGACTAGTGTTCCTCCTTTATAGCCAATTCAGTGTGTTCTCCAAAGAAACAGTGACTAATAACTTGCAGTCTGTTTCCTGGCAGATCCATTAAAGTGTTTTATAAGTGTTGGCCCTGAGGTGTGGAAGGTCGGTGTGACTTTGGTGGGTTCTGCCCTGTGCTCACAAGGGCAGTTGTTCTGCTCCTGTCCCTGTTGGGATCATGGGGATGGATGGAGTTTCCAGGAGTGTGAATGTTGCCCATTGGGAGGGAGGGAGGGAATGAATGCCTGCAGTGACAGCAGCAAATGGGAATTCTCATCCTGTGTTCTCCTGCCCGAGGTGCTTCAGGAGAGCACAGGGAGTCTGCAGACCCTGCAGTGGCTCCCAGTCAACACAAGGTACAAGGAATGGGACTCCTGTGGGACTCCTCTTTCTCTTTCCATTCCTCCACACTGGCTGTGGAATGCAGGGTAGAGCACTTGGCCCTCCTCACACATCCCTGGGTGCTGGAATGTAAAATGACCTTGCTTAGTGCTTGGCTCAGTGTGCTCCTGCAGGATTTTGTGATCTCTGAGTTGAGGTGGTGTGCATGTTTATTCTTGTTGCTAAAATATGACAGCAATCCTGATGCTAACTTCAATTAATTTTAATTAATCCTTTTCTAATGAAGGCTCCACAAAAGCTGCAAGAGGAGATAAATCCTTGATGGGAATATTTGACTAATGGCTATGCAGATGCTGCCAAGATCCTTCTCTCAAGCATATTGAGTTGAAATTCTTCAGAAGAGTGAGGTCAGGCCTGCTGCTGCAGTGTGCACCCTGAGCCTTAGGGCAGGACAGCACCAAAGGTGTGTAACAACTGCTGGGACTCCCATCTTCACTTGTAATGCTCTGGTGTGTCCAAGTGACTAAAACAATGCAGTAATTAACAGTGCTCTCCTGACAACCCAGATTCTTCTCTAGGTCAGTCCCTTCATACTGAAAATTTCTCTGCACAGACAAAAAATTAAAGGCAGCTTTGCCTCCTGGCTGCTGCTGCTGGGCTGAGCACAAAGCCTCTGACTCTGGGGAGAGGCAGATCTGAAGGAGCACCCAGGGAGATTGGAGCAGCTCCTCTGGGTCTCCTCACCCTTCCCTTGTAAATGCAGCTGTTCCCAGCTCACTCCTCTGAGGTGTTTGCTCCTCTTTGGACTGAACAAAGCCAAGCTGTTCCTCTGCTAAAGCATTAGGGAAGCTGCTGAGGAACAGTTAAGGACTTGCTGGCATGAAAAGTTTAGGAATGGGTGGAGGGGACTGATGGTGGTTTTGAAGCACCAGAAAGAAGAGAGCAAGGAGTAGGGAACACAGGAACTCTGGGGAGAAGGTGAGGAAGGCAGTGTGACAAGGAGGAGGGGCTGGCTCAAGGCAGCTCGTGTGAACCAGAAGGTGTTCTGTGCACAGGGCTGCTCAGGGTGCAGTGTGTGCCACCTCCAGCTCTGCCAGGGGATCACCACCCTCCCCTCCCAAGGAAAAGAGGTTTGGGCTGCATCAGATCCCATCTCAGCAGGTGCCCTTGTTCCTTCTCAGAATTATGTGTGGTTTGATACAGATCCTGCATGTTGGCAACATGTGCATTGGTCCATCATTTTGGTTTCATATGATAAAACTGTTTGATATAAAGTTAAGTACAATTGCATTTTTAATAAAACACACAATGCATATTTTGATGTGTGCCTTTTTCCTTTGTGAAGAAATGAAGAGTTTATGTGTGTGTGTCTGCTTAACTTGAATATTGCAGTATTTTCCACAGAATTTCATTTGTTTTCACCTAATAAAACTGCCCTTCTTTTTGGAGGTGAAGCTGACATTTCTTCCTGTGTTCTTTAGGCCTGCAAGCAGTCCCTGGGCTCCTGTGCAGACTACAGGCAGTGCTACATAGATCAGTGCTGCTGTGTAACACTAGAACCCTCTGTTCCCCAAAATGCAGTTCCTGTAGAGAAAACCCAATCTGCTGTTGCTGGGAGCTGTCACACTTGTAATTCTAAACAGATTTTTTTTCTGAAATAGTAATCAGGTGGTGTGTGAGAACTGATTCATGTGCTCATGATGGTTCATATTCCAGAGCTCCCATCAAACCTGTTTAAAAAAAAATCTTTCCTGGGGCTCAGCATTGCAAGAAAATGGTGAGTCATTGTTCCTGGGGACTGGCTGAAGGTGAGGGGCCAGCTGGTGTTTTCCAAAGGGACATCCTGGGTGTTGCTGCTCACTTCACATGGACTTTCCACCTGTTGTTAGAGCCTGTTAGTCACTTAACTGCCAAGTTGGACTTCTGTGAGGTTTTGTGTTTGATGGCTCAAAGTGTATATTGAGAGTGAACCTGCAGGTGTGAGTCAGTGTGGCTCTTACTGGAAAGAAGTGCTGTGTCCAAGCCCTCAGTGCTTTCTTGCTTCAGAGTATTTGGGCAAGGACCAAGTTGTCTGTTTTGGCACAATTTCACATGGGCTGGTTGTGTTTCATAGGTCTTTGAGTTCGGAATAATTGTTGGTGTCACGCTGTAAGAAACATTATTCCATGCTAGTTACAAGTGGTCCATTTCAGCTTTTGCCCAATGAACACCTTTTTTTTCCTTTTTCTTTTTTTTTTTCTTTTTTACTGTGAGTACAGCAATGCAAAGCCTCCTCTGTGACTGTCACACATAACCTGACACAGCACACGTAGCCAAGTAAATGCCTCACTTTGTGTGCCTGGGGAGTTAAAGTACAAGTTAGTTCTGGTTGGTTCTTTTCATGTAAAGGTTCTTTTAGTGGCCCAGGATGTTTCAGAGAGAAGGTTGAAGCAAAACAAGGGGAAGTGAGTAGGAGTTAGTGAATCAGGGAGCTTTGTCATGGGCTGTGATGGAACCAGTTCAGAGTGAAACCTGCACCACGAAGGGATTTGGTCTTGCTGGGCTGTGTTACTTGGGGGGTTCAGGGGCAACTCAAATATCATATTCTTTACCTGTATGAACTTTTGCTGTAAATAGTAAAGTCACTGTTTAAATGTTTTGTCTGCCAAACCTTACATCCAAGGCTTTTGTGGTGTTTGCAGGGATGTCTGTTTTTCCAGCAGGCAAAATCATTCCTTCTCCTAATCTGGGAATACCAAGTGCTTGAAACAGTAGGAAAGGTAAGCTGGAATTTGCAGAGCAGGTCACTCACCGTGGTGTAATCTTTTCTCTTTGATACACTAATGAATTCACTTTTAAATGTTACTCCTTCAGTTATTTTAAAGTACTTCATATTGCAATTCTGGAAGCTGCTGTTAAATGCCTTAATGTTTCACACCTACACTAGATATTCCACTGACTGCCTAAGTTTCATGCCAGTATTATTATCCTTCAGAGAGACATTTAGTGTAAATACCAATCACAAAAACCCCTGCATGATTATGCAACGTGCAGTCTAATCAACTGAATAATCAAAACACTCTGATTCACTGTGTTCCCTTTTCACCTCTGCTCGTCTCTCCTAGAACTGCAGCCCTGAAATCCTGAGTTCACCCCGTCCCTCCCTGGTACCTCTGCTGCATCCACAAGTGTAGAGGCTGTGGAGGTCATTTCACCCCTTTCTTCTGCTCCCATGGCTACAGACACCATTTGTTTTAATATCATGCCTTGATTCCCACTCAGCTCAGTCAGCCCCTGGGACAAGGCTGTCACTGCAGACCTGTGTTATTTTATATTTTTCTCTGTTTTTAGTGCAAGGCTTCTCAACAGATGGGCTGGGAAAGTGAGGGAGAGAGAGAGAAGATCCGTGAGCTGGGTTTGGATGGATTGGAGGGAGCACTGGGCTGGTCAGGAACGGTGGGGGAGCTGTTTCCCACTCTTGGAGAGACTCAGATGTGCTCCTTCTTTGGGGTTTACTTTCCCCTCTCATGTCTCAGTATGGTTTTCTTGCTGACCATAAGCCTAGAAAGTAACGACAAGTTGTATTTAAAAGTTCTACTGGTTTTTAACACTGTCTGTGGAGTCAGTGGTATCGTTAAGAACTGTGGACATTTTCTGGGCTGCTGAGACCTGCAGCTCCAGCTGGAAGAGGTACAGCCCAGGAGACTGGCAGTCCTTCAGACTGGGCTCTGGGCTGGACTCTTTCTCTCTGATCTGCTGGTCTTCCAGCACTCTCCAGGGAATGTTCTCTGTGCTAACATTCAGTGAGGGTTCTCAGAGCTGTTTGATTATTTTGTACTGTTTGAATTTGCAGTTGGGCTTTGCTTCCGAGAACCTGCTGCAGAGAGATGAATAATTAAACTGCAGACAGGAAGAACAAGATTTTACCACTCCATTGCTCAAGCCATCTTTGGCTTTCTGTTGGATGATGCTGAGTCTGCAGTGCCTTGACCGACTGACAGATCTTGGCACTCGCTACCAGTTCCTGTGTCCAGAAATGCACTCAGAGGTGTTGAATGTCAGGTTCAAGCCAGCTCTGCTCGTCAGAGTGACCAAATCTGGCTACTTATGTACAGTAGGAATAAAACATGACTCTGTGTGGATCCCTGGGATTCAATAAAACCTACTGTACTTTATTAATTTCAGGAATCTATGCCTGTCCTGAGAAAGTCTGCTTTGCTTTTTCTTGCTACTGGTGGAACCCACTTGGGATGTTTTTGTGTTTTCTCATCATGGATTAGTCATGAAAAAAAATTGCCAAGCAAGGCTTTTTAGCAGACGTGACTGGTGTGCTGAATTAGCCAGTTAATTAAAGCTACTCAGAATGTCACTCTGAAATGGATGGTTTTGTTTTTCTGAGGTGCATCAGAGAAGTCAGTAGAGGGTCCTTCCTGCCAGCTCTCATGCACACCTAAGGGTTTAGGATTTTCTGAAAAGACCCTCATCTTCTAGGAAATGATCTCCAGCTTGTGTGAAGTCCAAGCCTTTTTGCCTGCTGCAGCAGTAGGCAGAATGTCATGAACTGCAGGGGCTGAGCCCTGCTCTCCAGCATCCCCAGAGCTCTGTGCTCACACATGGGGCTGGGAACTTCCTGCTCAACTGCAGAAGCAAATGGGAACTTAAAGCCAGGTCAAACAGGCCATGCAGCAGAGGCTGGAGAACAAATGCAGATGTATCTTTCCTTAACAGAGACTCGATTTAGTAATCACTGGATAAAAGAAATGAGCTGTTCCCCAGCGTGAGACAGTGGAGTAAACAGTTTGCTCTGGTTTGGGCTCTGCCAGCTCTCAGGGTATGTGCTGGCACAGACTGTGTCAACACAGATGTTGGGCAGCAACTTTGATCTGGGACAAAATGCACTCATTAATGCTGTGTTGTGGTAGATTGCAGATCTGAAGACAGTATAGAGGGAGGAGCCAATCTGCATCTCCAGGCTTAAAAAGAAGACCTTACTAAGGACTGCTGAACCCGAACAGCTGCCTTGTGGGAAATGGGAAGGTAAGCCATGTTTATTTTTCTGTCATTGCCATTAAATCAAGTCCAGCACAAGGAAAGACCAAGTTATCCAAAATAATGAATAATGTATTTTTCATGTTAATGTCTTCCTGAAAAATCCCTGTGGTATCAGTCTTACAACGTGTGTGCAGGTGTTTTTGACAGACTCACTCCAACATCCAGAGGCATGTCTGCATGCTGTCTTTTAATTATGGTATAAATAACCTCCAAAACTGTAAACTAATCACAGGTAATACATTCTTGTACAAGCTCACAAATACACAAGTATCACACATGGTAGCAGACGGGCAAGGGTGACTTTCTCCCACCAGCAAGGCTCTGGCTTAGTTCCACTCCCTGCAGAGCTCCTTGTGCAGCTCAAATGAGCATTTTGTGTTTCAGGATCACATCTTGAAAAGATCCCAAATGTAGGAATCTTTTGATTCCTATACAGCTGACCTCTCCTTGGAAATACATTACTGTAAGGCTAAAATTCATGGTGAAGATGAAGAAAATGTAAGACTGTTGCTAATAATGTCCCAGTGGATACCAGCAGGGTCCCAGTGCTCCGTGGTGTGCACAGCTGGGACAAGCACTGAGCCTGAACTGCTGCCTGGGGGGAGGAAGGTTCTACACAGGGATGGAATGCAGCTGTGCTGCAGGCTCTGTTCAAGGGACAGCAGCTTCCTGGATGTTTGTGACTGATAGTAATTTCCTCTGAAGCTGTGTTCATGTGGCACTGGGGCTTCTCTGATGGATAGGAGGTGGGGTTTTTTTGAGTGGAAAAAACCGCAAAAGAACTAACAAACACAGTATCAAAGGTTAATTCAGGCTCTTTGCCCCATGAATTTAGTAGCTTTTTAACCCTGATTTAGAGGAATTTACTTCTGCTCTGATATCTAAAGAAAGGATATTCTTTTAAGGTAGTCTACTGTTGGAAAAAACAAAATGCAAAGTATTCACTATTCTTTGAAAAAGTATGCAATCCAGTGTTCTTGTCTGATGCTTAAAATAGTTAAGAAGTTACTGGCTGGACCTTGGAAATCCCAGCAGAAAGACTGCTGTGTGGGTTTGATTTCTTGCAATAAATTTAGACGAGCCTTTATTCTGAAGCCCTTTGGTCTGAAAAGTACTTTTTCCCTTCACGACACCCACAGCAGCATGAAAAGTCTTGGCTGCTCTTTGCAGCTGCCTGTGTGCCAAGCAAGAGGTCTAGAGAAAGCAGCCCAGTCCATTGACAAGTTGTTCTTTGGTCTGAAGCAGCTCCCAGATGTGACGCAAGCAGCAGCTCTGTTTTACCCTTAAAAGCAAAGGCCAGAGGATCTCTAGAGTCAAACCTTCTGAAGGTGTGGATCAGCTGGTGAGGGCAATCAAAAACTGCTGGATGACTTTGAGTTTTCACTGAATGTCAGTCAGCACAGTGCAGAGAGCCTGAGCTCAGGGAAGTGTCAAAAACTGGCCCTCTGAGTCCTGAGTGTGTCAGTGGAGCAGGTATTTGAACAGAGAAGTGCTGGGAGTAACAGCAGATCAAGGCTTAGAGGGATCAGCTCAAAGCTCTTGTCCTTCTTTAGAGGCCCTTTGGAAGACTGTTCCTTCCCAGTTATCTGTGTGCCTGTCCTGTGCTCAGCCAGCCTCAGCACCCAGTTTGATTCCTTGTAATCCAGTCAGTCTGCACCATACAGGCCCCCATTTCTGCAGCTCTTAGTTGTTCTCCCAAGGCCTCCAGGAAAACAGCCAGGCAGCAGTGATTCCAGCTGGGCCCATGCTGAGGTGACCTGATTTCCTTTATCCTACTTACTGTTTGGTCATTTGTCAATGAGTCCAAGTCAAGTAGCAAGCTGACAATGATCCCTGTGCTCCCTGGTGTCTGTGCTCTTACCTTGTATCTTCTTTCATTTCTCACATTTCTAACAATGCTGAAAAACCTCCAAGGACTGCATTTTTCAATGTCCTTTTACACAGTGTCCCTCTAAGCACTAGTATAATCCTAATAAATAATAATAAATTACATATATTGCTATGATTATTTGGACTCATTAATAGAGGAGGACCTACATGACATGTGTGTGCAAATGTGGAATTTGGGCAAATTCCTGCAGTTGTTTGCTGTGTTCTCTTAACAATAAGATGTGCTAAAATACTTGTGCAGTTGGTTTGTTGGGCTGCACCAATTCCAGGTTCCCTTTCTCAGCTGGTCTGCTGTGTGTTTGTGCTGCAGTCTGCCTGCATCATCTCAGGGGTGATGTCTGTGCTGTAGTTTGAGCTTTCTTTTTCCACTGGAAAGGCTTTTTCACTTGCTTCTTCTGAGTGCAGGAGAGACGTGGGCTGTGGAGCAGGTTCCACATCAGCCAGATCTCGGCAACTTTCAGACTGTGAACTACCATGAGATCCTTGTAAAAGCAGGGATCAAATGTCTGTAGGTGTGGGGCAGCAGAAGGCTTGACGATGCCAAAGGTCTTGAATCCTTCATGCAAGATGGGCTTGAGGTTGATTCTCTGTAAGCACATGCCCAAGAAGACGTCGTCGATGGGGAAGAGTTCCACCTCCCTGCACGCCCTCGAGAGCCTCCTCATGGTGTGGCTGGAGAGCAGGAACCCTCCTCCCCCCGCGTAGGCCGGGTAGATGCTGAGCCCGTACATGGTCTCTGGGATGTAATATTTGCTCTTCCGGACACGGATGGGACGGGCATTGTAGATGATGTCCCCAACAAAGAGGTCCTCAGTGGGGTCGTGTCTCCTGAGGAAATCAACAATGTTCTCAATGTTGACAAAAACGTCGGCGTCACCTTTAAAAATGAATTTGACGTTGTGGCAGAACTCGGCAGCCCAGCTCAGGAAGTGGATCTCCTTCAGGGTCAGGTTGAAGAAAGTGTCCATGAAGTCCCAGAGCAGAATGTCCCGGTATGTCTGACTCTCCTGGTGGATCAGGGTCTCCCACGTCGCCAGCACTGTCCTGTTCTTTGGTGTTCCCAGGAGGAACACTCGCTGGATCTGCTCCCCGTTCACCAAACCCTCCCTGCCCCAAGTTTTCCGGACAATCTCGCGCCTGTCGAAGTCTTCAACTACTGATTTGATGGCAATGAGCAGAAAGGGCCCTCCAGGTGTTTTCCGGCATTTCCTGGGCTGGTTGATGAGGAGGTTGAAGTTCCTCTTGTCCTTGTTCAGGAGATAGTGCTGGAAGTTGAAGGCAGAATCAGTTGGCAGGGGGGGAGTTGTAGCTTGGACCCTGTTCTTGGCCACTTCTGCTCGTCTAATGACAGGGGTAACTTGGGGTCTGGGTGCTGTTGCCTCTGCTGGCATCAGTCTCTCAGGTGCTCGGGGATCTGAGGATATTTTTGGGGTTGCTGGAGGCTTCTTCTGTGTTGGCTCCTTGTTTCCTGCCGGGACTAAATGTTCCAGCTGGGAGTAGAGTAAAGAGCAAAGCGCTACCAGCAGGAGGAGGGTACAGATCACATCCCCTTTGAGGCGAACTCTCATTGTCTCTGTGGTGTCCCTGGACTGCTAAAAGCCTTGTTTGAGCTGCCTGGCACCAATGTCCATCTGTAAATAAACAGAGGGTGTCAGCAGCAGGGATTTGGCAGCTCTGAGGCATGCAGGAAAGACTAACTGAAAGATCATCTAAAAAAAACCAGCAGCCAAGTGTGTTTTACTCAGACAAGCACTGAGACACCTTGAGGAACCTGCCCAAAGGCACATGGGGTTGCAAACCTGACCCTGACCCCGGCACTCCAGTTCTGTGACCTGCTTAGTTCAGTCATCATTCATCCTGAAAACCACTCTCTAAGCACCACCCACAATCAGCCCTTCCTCCTGCATCCCTTGCTGCTGAACACGTTTTGCTGTTCCAGAGATTTCACTGCTTTGGGAAAAGTAGGATGGAAAAGAATGAACGGTGCCATTCTTCCATAAGTCATTACTTTTTTCTATTTTTTTTCCCCTGAGCTTTGTAACTGTTACTTGCTGCTTTTACCCTTTTTGACTCGAGACAGGGAGGCTCAGAGCTGAGGGGCAGAGTCTCCAGTGGCAGAGTGTTGCTGGTGTTTCCCTGCATACAGAGCCAGCTCTTGTTGAACCTACAGTGATTTATATTCAAAATGAATACATCAGGCATGCTCTCCAATGCACACAGGGCACTTTTCCTGCCAGTAATCTTTATAAAATATTAAACCATTATAAATAACTTCCATTAATAAGGTTAGAAGGGGCCACAGGTGTTCTTCCTCTGCCACATCACCCTAAGCAAGAGGTGGGGAAATAAATCCCAATATGCAGAAGCAAGACAGAGCCTGGGGTTAGGAACGTTTTGTTCACGTATGAGAGATGAGGCTGCCCTGTGAAACACAAGATATTCCTCACTTACACTTTTCCTGGGGATCTTCTGTCTTACTCCATCAGTTCTTCAACTGCAAACAGAAAATAACAAGGGAAGAGCAGTAAGAAGGCAGCAAGGAGCAGGTAACCAGCTCAGGGAGCAGCTGGCCAGGTGTGGGCAGCAGCACAGGCAGGTTCTGTCCCCACTGCAGGAGCAGCCAAAGCTGAGCTGTGCAGAGGGCAGAGACAGTCCCTTCAGTCCTCAGCAAGGAGCAGTTCCTGAGTTTAGCTCCACCCAAAGGTTTTCCCCTGAGTGCACAGAAGTGTTTTATACACCCCTGACAGTGTGTTACATGTGGCCCCTGTGGGATCTGGGCAACATTTCAAGACTTATGAGGAACCAAAATGATGACACTGGTTTGTTTCTTGGCCAGCCCCTTTAACACTGTTAGATGGACATTACTCAGACCTCATCATTTTAATATTGTGCTTCTTCATTACTGGTTAACTGCTTCTCTGAGTTACTGTTGAAATAGAGAGTATTTCATCATCATACAGTATCACCTGTCTTTTTCTCAAGCGCAGCTCCAAAATGTTTATTGACCTCATCTGCTTTGTCTCTGTTGTTTCTGAAACCTTTATTTTGGCAAACAGCAGGTCTGTGCCTTGGTGTAAGGCTCTGGTGGATTTAAAGTCACTTCTTCCTCGTCCTGATGACGTTTTTTTCTTCAGGCCTTGTTTCTTGCCTTTTTCTGGCCTCTCTTAGAGACCACTGGGGTTTCTTCATTTGTTGGCTCTTTTCCCTGTACCTTTCACTCCTCTCCCAGCCTGGGCAGATGTTTTAACTGGCACAGCTTTGATTCTAATAGCAGGATTGTAGAATTTCCTCAGACCTCTTGTAAATTGTTGTTAAAATATTTAGACTATTCAGGATCTGTTTTCTGTTTATGTTCTCTCTGGCACATGACTTGGCTGATAACTGTTTTCAGCCTCATGAAGCAGTCCCTCCTGACACGTAGAGGATGTGTTTGCATTTCACGTCCCTCACGTGCAAACCCCCCCTGGCAGGTCCTGAGTGCTCCAACGTGTCCCAGTCCTGGACTAAATCTTCCTTGTTAAGATGTGGTTCCCAGCAGGCTTCCCCTCATGTCACCTTCAATAATTTTCCAGAAGTTCTGGGGACACGAAGGGATGGTCCCACTGCACCCAGGATGTGCCACTGAGCTGGATCTGCTGAGGAGAAGGAGCCTGTCCTCCTTTGGCCTAATCAGGAGCAAGAGTTTTTCCTGGGTGCTACTGAGATACCTAAAATACGGACCCTGTCTCAAAAAGTTCCTAAGAACTAAAAGTGAGGTATTTCTGTTGTGCTGGAAGGAGCTGTACTGAGGTGCTGTGCAGTTTTGTGGTGTGGTTTCCAAAGCCAGTGGGAGATGCACATCCCCAGCAGGATAAATCCTGATTGCACTGGGCTGTTTGTGTCTCCACTTGAGCTCCTTGTGAAGTCCCATCTCTTCTCTCACAGTAATTGCAAATTTATTTTTTCTTTTCTATAGAAAAGTCTGATCTTATTTCAGCTGCCAGACTCCAGATGGTAATTAAGGAGCTGGATGAAAGTCCTGGCTCTTTCCTGTGTTTAATTTTATTGTCAAGGGTTTGGAATAAATTGTGTGTGTCATGAAACTCGTAATTTCCATGGCTTACAGATTTATCCTGCCAGCATCTCAGACTCTGGCAATAAATGCCCTTGGAAAAGCCAAGAAAAACCCTGAATTGTTACAAGCCTGGGCTGATAGCCCGGGTTTTCTTCTGTGTATTTGTTTATTGAAAGTAAAGGATCTGAAATGGTGATTTCCATGCTGAAATAAAACAGGTCAGTGCTCAATACAGACATCTCATTTTCAAATGAAGTTGCCAGCCCTTGAAGTGGTTCCTTGATCTAACTATATGGATTTTCCAGTCTTTGTTAGATATTTCTTTCTTTGGAAGGAAATGCCCTCAGTTATTACACAGGTGTAAGCTCTATCCATGGATGGCAGTGTGGGAAAAGCTGTCCTGTTCTGGAATACAGAGGGACTGATGATTCTGGCCAATGCTCTGGTATGTCCTAAAGCCAGAAAGATTATTCATCCATCTTGACACCAGGGGAAAAAAATTACAGGGCTATCGAAGTGAGCAGGAAATACTTGATGCCAAACTAAAGGGGTGTGAGCACAGCAGAGCATTTCTGAGCACAGCATATCCCTGAGTATATCCCTGAGGATCTGCATCCGAGGCAGAGGCACCTCTGCTTCCTTGTGGGGCATCTCCATCCAGCTTGTGAAGCTGGGCTGGGCTCACAGGCTGCTGCATCACTTGGGGCCTCAGGGGGCATGGGCTCAGCTGCCAGCACGGCCTCCTGTGTCCTCTGGGCTTGGAAAGGCAGGCAGCTGTCCCTCTTTGTGGCTGCCTGGGGATGGATGCAGAGGGATCCTGGGTCTGACTGGGACAGTGCAGTTTGTCCCCCCAGGACAGGGGGGTCCTGGGGGAGGGGGGGGCTGTGAGCACCAGTGATGTGAGAGGGCTGAGCTGGGCAGTGGGAACAGGCTGACAGGTCCCATGTCCAGGAGGTGGGAAGATGAGGAGCCCATAAATAAGGAGTGTGCTGTAAGAGCCAGGTGGGGCACATCCTGCATGGCCCAAGAGGCTACAAAAGGCAGGAAAGCTGGAAGTGGCCAGAGCTGGGCATGGCACCCTGGTGAGCGTCCAGGCAGGAATCTGACCTGCACTGTTGCATGCTCAGGCAGAAGGCCCAGTCCTCTGCCTGGTTTTCATTTATTTGAGAGGAGGATTCTGAAATATGGCCAAGAACAGCTGCAATAAAAGCAGTTAAATGATGATTTAAAACAAAAATTCCTAATCCTTCTTTCCCAGTTGAATGACGTGAAGCCTTGAGCTCATCCTGGAAATCTCCTTCCCTTGCATCACTCATCGCCCCTCCAGCACTTGGCACTTCTGTTCAGGGCCAAGGTGGGAAAAAGTCTCTGGATGCTGCCCCCAAATTCAGTTGAGAATGGTGATTCTGGCACGTTGCTTTGTGCTTTGAAGAGCAGTTATTTGACCCACCCAGCCTGGGGACAAGCAGCTGTGACAGTGAGGTGAGCTGAAAATGGGGTTACACTGAGCCAGGGGGTCCCAAACTGGCACCACACTCTGCTGGCCACTCCCAGCCCAGCTCCTGGGCACATCCATCCCACAGGCACACCCTGGCTGTCCCTGGCTCAGCTCTGCCCAGCTGCACATGGAGTGTTCTGGCTCCCTCCTGACTCCTGCCCTGGAGCTGCCCCTGGTGGGTTTGGGCTGGGCAGCAGAGGGGCCATGCACTGTGTGGCCATGCAGCACGTGGGGCTGGGCCTGCTGGTGGAGGTGTCTCACCTGCTTCTCTGTAAAATGATCTAAAGAACGTGTGAGGGATCCAGCAGTGGTGGGTTTGAGGAGATGTTTTTTTTGTAATCCTCAGGGAAGCTTGTAAAATTCTGGTTGGTGGGGATGCTCTGGGGCAATGCTTCAGGTTTGGGGTGTTTGTTTTCATTTCGTGAGGGTTGAATGCTTTTCATGAGAACAAAGGCATGTGGTAACACCCAGGGCTGGATACTGAGACCTGCCTGGGCTCTGGCCTGCAAGGGGAGAGGTCTGAGCACATGTCTCCCTCCTGCCTTGTTTCCAGTAGTTTTTCCATCCTCATTCCCTCATCAAGAGCCAAGCAAATTCCCAGGACCCTCCTCACCTTGTGCTGCTGTTCCTCTGCCTCAGGAGGAGTCCTGACAGTGTTCAAGGAACAATAATGCCATACCCTATGCCCATCCTGCAGCTGGACCTGTGTAAAATAGATGTGTTCAGATGAGCTTCATCCCCCCAGAGCAGGATGCTGGCACTAAAAAGCCTGCCCTGCCTGAAGCCCTGCAGGGAGGCTGCATTTTCCCACTGACTTTCCCTTGGTCCCACCTTCTGAGCCCCTGAAGGCTGGCAGAGTGTTTGACTTCTGTGTCTGCACCAGCTTAGTTTAAATGTCTTGCTGAACACACAGACATGAGAAGCACTCTGTTTTGGGTAAGGATCACTGGTTTTGCTCTCTTCAAGCTGCACTGGGCTGCCATCCTTCCCTTACCCTTCTACAGAAATCTGAAGGGCAAAGGCCAAGGCTTCAAACTCTCAGCTGAGTTACCCTGCTTTGGGTCTTGTGGTGGCAAAATTTCATTTTGCATCTGGGCTCTGGGGTACCCACAGAGAAATGTGTCAGCTCCCAGCACCGGGTTTGTTCTGCCCCACATACAAAAACATGCATGAAAGAACGTGGCTTTAACCGTTTAAGATGTGTCAGAAGCATTTAAAGGGGAGAAACAGCTGTATATGTTGAAGCAGGGGAAGAAGCTGTCTTCCATTTCTGTGTTTAGGTGTCGTGTAATGGGTTTTATTCCTGCATGGTTTCTTTTTTTGGTTTTGTTTCTTTGTTTTGGCACACCCCCTAGGCAAAGTCAATAATCTCCTCAGAGTTACTGCTTTAAGTGGCTTTGGTGCCAGACAACTCCTCTTTGCACTTCAGGGTGTTTATGAAGAGGTCTCATTTGGAGTTACAGGATCACAAAGTGATGCTGAATGATTGGATCCTCTACACTAGAAGACAGAGCAGGCTGAAATACAGAGATGCCCCTCGGTGCAGTGGTTAATGCAAAGCCCTAAAAAATGGAGTAACCAAAACATCTGCTGTGCTGCCTGACCAGAACAAAGCTCATCTCATTCAGCTGCCTAGAAGTTCTGAAGTCTATAAACAAAGCAAGAGCAGGCTGTAGGATTTAATTAGCTGAATGTCTTGAGAGCTATCCCAGGAGGTGGGGATGAAGCAGAGCCCAAGGAACACAGCACAGAGGGGCAGAAGCTCAGTGCCCAGCTCCACACCAGGTTCTGTCACACACTGTGACAGTGCCACAGTGGCAGCACTGTGCCATCATTGCTGCTCTTACTTGCTGTTGCAGCACCTGGAGGCAAAAGCTCTGTTGGGTCAAACGCTGCAGAAGCAGGTAACAAAAATGCAGGCCCTGCTCCAAAGACAATTTCCAACTTCCCTGTCAGAGCTGCTTTTCAGACTTCTATTTTTTTTCCAGGACAGAGCAAACGAATGGATGAAATCCATGCTGTTACAGGACAGGGTGCCCTATTTATCTGCTTGCCCCAGTCCTTAAATACGTGGTTTGCTCAGCTTCCCAGCTGGCTGGGCCCATTTTATTGCAGTCTCCCCTGTTGGCACTGCCAGCCCTGCCCTCACAGTGCCAGGCACAGTCAGGTAACCAGCTGCAAACGGCTGCTGCTGTCGCCTCCTTTTACTTTCCACCCCACTTTTATGAAGTGTACAAACTTAAATGCAGAGGAACTGCAGAGCTGCTGTGTGAAGGCAGCTGTTGGATGCTGAGATGTCTGTTTTCACATACAGGGGTCCCAGGAAGGAACTTGCAGGGTCTCCAGTGTGGTACCCTGGCAGAAGGAGGTTGTGTGTGGGATCCCGCTGGCCCTGGGCAGAACTGGCTCCTGCCTGACTGTCCCCAGGACCTCCGGGAAATGCTGCTCCTGTCACCCTGCTGACCCGGGGTAAGTCCTGGCGTACACGTGGCACAGTTTGGGGGCTGCAGCTCTGCTGGATTTAAGCAGTGCCCGATGTTTTGTGGCCCTTTCAGGGCTGGAGGAGCCATCGTGGCAGTGCCTGGGCAGGATGAGCTGCTGCCCAGCAAACAGGGGAAACTCCAGCTCCTCCTGAGCACCACGGCTCTAACGAGACTGCTCAGCTGCCTGCAGGGTAGGAGAAGGTAACACACAATCTCCTTCTGCAGGCTCAGCAGCCTCGAGAGGTATTTCCCTAAGTTCAGATGCAGTCTGGTGTGCTGGTAGCCTGATTTTCAGAATTACAGAGAGCTCAGAAGCTCAGCTCACCACTGAGTGCTCTGGGAGATGGGCCCCTCCTGAGCAGCCAAGCACAGGGTGAGGAACCTGCCCTCTCTCTTCCAAACATTCATTTTTCTTGGCCCCAGGAGGAGAATAAAGCCTTGCAGGCTTGTGAAGGGGTAAGAGACAGTCCCACTGAAACAACCACCTTCCTTTCCCAGCCCTCCCAGGTTGTAGCATTTGCTGCCTCTTCAGCTCACAGACCCTCTTCTGATCTGATAAATAATTTGCCTGACATGCCCCAAGCCCCAGCAATCACAGTGCATTAGCATGGATGTATTATTACACCCAGACACAAATGGGAGAGAGAGCAAGTGCTGGTGAACCCCCCTAATTTCAATAATTTTATCGGAATCTGCCCAAAAGCTATTTAAAAATGTGATTGGTGACTGTCCATTTCACAGGGATTGAATTATTTTCTTTCTGTCTTTGTGACACTCGAGAGGTTGGAGATGCCTGTGTTTTTCTCAAACATGGGAAAGATTCACGTCCTTTTACTGATGAGGAATGTCTTGTAAATGTAATGTGCCACCACTGGGACGTGTTCTTGGTTGAGAGGAAACCCAGCCTGAGAGCACTGGAGGCACTGTGCAGAGAAACCCCGAGCTTCTGTAAAAACAACTGCAGAGTTCTTTGGAAAGTAAAGCGTAAAGCAGATGTATGGGGCTGGAGGCTGCGTGTTCAGAGAGCCTCAGCCGCCCCTGCCGCGCGTTAACCATCGCGGTTCGGGCTGCTGCACGTACAGCATGGCAAGAGCAACAAGGCGACAAAAAGGGAAGCAGCGAGGACAGTCTGCAGCTCCCCCCGCTCGCTGCACAGGTCCCCCGGCCCCCCCGATCAGCACACACAGATACTCACAGCCCGGTCCGCAGCCGATCCGTCCCCGCGGTGCCCGGGCGGCGGCTGCCGGGGAGGCGCATCTGGACAGTCAGTGCGGGACACTCCGAGCCCTCAGCGCAGCCCGGGGAAGGCTCTCCGGGAGCTGGGAGCGCTCTCTGTCCGCTCTGGGCCGTTCTGGGGCGGCCCCGAGTCGCCCCCGCCCCGGCCGGGCCGCCTGAGCCGGGGCCGCTCCCGGAGCCGCCCGGTCCCGGCAGCGAGGGAAGAGCAGCGGCCCCCGGGGCAGGAGCAGCGGCCCCGGGCAGGAGCTGGGCCCGGTCCAGGCCCGGACACGTGATGGGAGCGGGTCTGGGGTGTCGGGGCTCCGGGCGCGTCCCTCAGCTCCGACAGAAGGTGCGGCGCTTTTTTTTTTTTTTCCCCGTAACTTTTTTTTCCAATAGGAAACGCGTTTCCCCCCCCTCCCCGCCCCCGACTTTCTTCTTTTCGTTCTGCAGTTTGGGGTTTTTTGTTTGTTTATTTCTTAATCCCCTCGTGAGTATTTACCTCTGCAAAGAGTCAAAGTGAAAAACTGAGGTTGGGTCCAGCTCAGAAGTAAAATCCAGTTGGGGGTTGGTTGCTGTTTTTCCTAGCGGGGAAATAATGGGAGGAGGTGAGCACTGAGCAGTACAGAGGCTGAAGACAGATTCGAGGGTCCCTCCCAAAACACTGAAAAAAAACCCAAACCCCACCTGTTGGGTTTTTTTTCCATTTAATTTGAAATAGTTCAAAACAAAACATTTTTATTTGGAGCCAAATCTAAATTGCCATCACTACTCATCTGCCAGCTGAGTGCAGCCATAGCACTTCCAATCCCTGTGGCTGTTTCTTTGTCTCTGCAGTATAAACAATGACCCTCATTCCTCCAACAGAGGCCAAGCATCTGGAGAGTGCCCAGACCACAGCCTCTTTAGAAAGCAAAGTTTTTTGTGTACAGTGAACTTGTCATAAAGGCAGGTTTTGATCTACTCTGTTGTTTTCACGAACAAGCGACTGTTTTCTAAACATAACGTAAAAATCTCTTTCTGTCAGCATCTGTGCTTTTTTGAGGTATTTTTTATTTCAGCTCCAGTGTTTTGCTTTACTGAACACAGAGTCATGGGGAAGAGCGAGTTCCTGGTGAGACACCCTCAGGCCCTGCACTGAGGTGCTGCAGGCTGGGAAAACCCTTTGGTGGTGATCAGCAGCTGGACCTCAGTGGCTCCCTGAGCTGCTCAGCTGATCAGAAACCTCCATCAGAGATGTTGTTTAGATTCATGCTCTCCCTGTGCCAGCCCAAGGTACCTCTATCCTTTTTCCCTGCAGCAGCAGCCCCAGGGTATCTTTCATCCCTCCTCAGTAAGGATGCAGATGATGGTCACAAGAGTAGGTTGGTGTCTGCCTTTGCTGGGAGGGACTGGCTGTGGAGGGAGGAGACAGCTCCCTAAACCATCAGGACCCTCAGCAGGTATTTCCTCCTGCTCCCCTTTTCACTTGCTCCCATGGGGTGAGAGTGAAAACAGGCTTTCCTTGATGTGTGGTGCCTTTGTGGCTGCTGTGGCTTGGAGAGTCGTGCAAGCAGCTTGGGAGGTGGAGCAGCTTCTCCATGGGTGCTTCTAGGTGCTGGTTGTCTCACCTGGACTTGTTCCCTGGGCACTGATGCACGACTGGTTTATCCTTCTCACTCCCAGCAGAGGTGCCCCTGGTCTGTCCCGTGCTGTATCACTGTGTCACCAGGCTGGGTCAGTGCTCTTGCTGACCCGGGCTGCTGTGTCCTTCCAGCTGTTGTAGGGCAGAGCTCTGCTCCCTGTCACTGTATTCCTGCAGGCATCAAGCCACACAGTTGGGAATACAGCTTTGTGGTGGATAAAGAAGGGCTGATCTTGTGATTTTCAAATGGTGTTTGAGATTTAAGCGATTCAGGGTGAAATACAGCTCTGCTCGAGTTCATGGCAAAAGGAATTTCCCTGGATTCAGCTGTCAGGTCAGCCAGTGGCTTCCTGTGTAAAGCTGCTGGAGATTCCAGGTCCAAGCTCCTTGGCTCCCCACCTAGGGAGCAGGCAGCCCTGTGGCAAAGCTCAGTACCAGCGAGGCACTTGGCTTTGCAGTGGGGCTGTGGCCTCAGAGGAGCCCCAGGTACCTCAGCAGCACTGAAAGGAGCACAGGGAGCTCTGCCAGGTACCAGGGCTGGGAGAAACCTCCCCTTCTGGCCATGTGTGCTAAGAACAGGCTCATCAAAGCAGTAACTGGAAGCTGAACAAACAGGGTGGCTTGGCTTCGACCTGCAGCCAGAGCCATCCCCTGGCAGGTGGGGCACCCTTGGGGTGTCAGGAGGAACGTCTGACCTCGGGCAGGACCCTGCTGTGCATCCAGAGCCTCAGGCTGGATGTTCCTCCGAGAGCTGGGGATTGCCAGCGTGGCCAGAACTGCAGTGAACCCCCTTCTTCCTCCTGCCCTGAGTGTTCAGTGAAAGTCTCTGAGACATTTGTCATCAAAAGTATGTATTTATTTATAAAAAAGAATAGAGAAAAAAAATACACCAGTGTTTTTTTCTATAAAAGACAATTCCTTGGAGGTTAAATGTCCTAGACCCAAGGATACATGGCATTGCAGTCCATAGCTGTAGATGGCTGATCCAGATCTGATGCTGAATATCATGGGAATTGGGAATTAGAAGATTTGCAAGTGATCTTCCACTGACAACTAAGAGACTTCAACCACACATCTCCTGCAGGTTTCAGTTAGAGATGTATGGCCAGATCCCTTCAGTGACTAAAAGTCAATCCACAGAAGAAAATAATATATAATTTTTGACTCCAGGCCTTAAATTGCTTCACTGTCTGAGTCCATCTCCATACAAAAGACATGTGGCCAGACCTTGTCTGGTGTAAAGCCAAGGATCTCACCAGTGTCCTGCACACACTCCAGGATGTGGGTTACTCTCACAAAACCCTCTTGACTCCCATTCTAGTTCCTCCTCAGTTCAAGGTGTACAGTACCAGGGGTTCACGGCTACACCAGAATTTTCAGTTAAACTAAATCATCAATTTAAGTGAATTTAAGTGAGGCTCCTCATTGCTGTGCATACTTGCTTTTGGTTTCAAAGTGCTGGGGTGTGACTTGGAGGTGGCTCCTTTGGAACTGCAGGTGGGAGGTGACACAGTGACCCAGGACAACTTCTCAGTGCCAAACCCAGGTTCAAAATGAATGGGAAATAAAGAGGTATTTTCCTCTGAGACAATTTCATATCAGGGTATACTGACAGGTTTGCCTCTATCAGATGCCTCATGTCGAAGTATATCTGGTGAGCATTTAACTTTCACTCTCTTCTTTATCATCATCTGTTTGAGCACTGTAGCTCAGCTATGCCAAAACAAATCATTCAAATTCTCCTTTGGATGGATCTTTTATTCCTTCTGGCAGACTGATAGGAGCCTCCTTCAAATCTGAAACATGGTTAAAACTACAAAAACAATCTGCACCACAAAAAAAAAAGCCCTCTTGGATCCCTTCCTCTAAGCACATTTTGGGCTGGGTTTTTTTCTGTTTTATATTTTATCTATTTCAGGTCTTATATGCAACTGATTAGCATCTTTATTTGCTTTTAATATTGTGTTTGATTCTGAAACACCACCATCACCTCGAAAATATCTTTTTTCCCCAGTGCCAGGTGTGTCACCAAGTGCCCCCAACACCTCCCTCTCTGCACTCCCCTCACTGCATTGCTGCCCAAGGTAAGGACATGACCCCCCTTTCTTCAGCAATCTCTGCTAAGGGTTTTTCCTTTGTGAGTGCTTCTCCCTTCCCCGTGTGATAAGAGTTCCCTTGTTTTTGCACAGTGGTATAAAACCGCTGGAAAATCTTCTGGGTAAAGCAGAAGTAAACTCAGAGTGGAGCTCCAGGCAAATGCCACACCAAGGCAAATGCCACTGTCCTCACCATCCAACTGACCTGCTTCATTCTAAGGCCTCTGGGAAAGTTGTTTCTATCTGTTTCTGTGCCAGATAATACTAACAAAAGCTGCTCTTTCAGCAGGAAGGAGTCCACTTGAGACCAGAACTGAAGTTTTCATTGCACCTGATGCTGATGACTGATCATGGAAAAGCAGGTATGAAACAGCCACTGCTATGGTCCTAAAACATGCAATGCACTTAATTCCACCACGGAATATCCCTGGAAAACCCTTTTCCTGCAAGTCTCTGCAATGAAGGCACCTGTGAATGCTGTTAAAGATGATGATATTCCACAAAGGTTGCCAGAGGCTCCAGCACTTAATGGCACTTTTGAGAGGGAATGTGTGAGTAAGAGGCAATACCCATGCCAGTGCTGGCAGAGAGGGACAATGCACAGTGCCTGCAGTCAGGAGAAAGCATTCCTGCTTAGTGCTCTGTAAAAGAGTAAGAGCTGCAAAAAAGTTTTCTGGACTTGAAGGAGATGCTGAATAACACAACTTTCTCATTTTAAGCATTAACAGGTACTACAAAAACTAGTAATTCTCACTACTCAGAGGCTGCCTTATGTGAAAGTTGTGTACATGAATACCTAGACTGAGAGCTTAGAAAAACTTATTACAAATAAGACAGCAGGCTATGCATATGACCTTGTCTTCTTTAAAAAATCATTTCTGCAAAATCAAGAGCAAACCCTCTTGCTGTTAATTTCCCAGTTTCTGATTTTTAAATTGTTTTGAAATACCATTTGTCAGGTGGGTTGCTGCCAAACAGAGTTCCCCAGTTGGGATCTGGCAGGAAAGCTAAATGCTTTGAGGTATGGTTCCACAGCAGCTTAAATTAACTAAGGTCAGCATCACTGTGCTGGTCCCAAAAGCAAAACTGTCACAGAGGTAATTGCTGCATTTTGGGAAGAGCATTGGTACTACTGGAAGGGAGAGGGTAGGATGTGGAGCAGGAGTGGAGGAGCTGAGACTGCAATGGCACTGACAAAAGCCACAGTCTTTGCAGAGATGGTGCCTCCATAAAGTCCTGCTTCCTTTGAAGCTAAGGCCAAGATGGAAGCAGATACACCTTGAAAACATCTTCCCCATCCTTAACCCACATCATCCCTTTCCCGATTGTGTATGGAACCTTGGGGGTTCAAAATCTGCAGAGAACAAGTGAGGTTTCTCAGGCTTGCTTATACTGAGGGATGTGATGCTCATCTCACCTGAGGCATGTGGATCCCACCTGGGTAGAAGCTGGACATCTAAATCCTGCTCAGCCAGGTCTCCACTTTAGCAGAAGCTGAGGGAGCAGCTCCAGCCCCAGGAGCTCAGGTCTGGGCCCACACCTGAATCTGAGGTTGCATTCCTTCTTACTGAATTACAGCTTTGACTCCAGGGAAGGATTAAGGTGTCAGATGTGGTTTAGAAGGCCATCAGAGCCTGACTGAAAGCTGGTCCTACCATGACTGCCAGCAGCCTGATAGTCACCTGTGCACACAGGCTTTATGTGTGCAGCCAGAGCCACCCTCTGCAGCTGAAACAGTTGCCACAGCCCACTGGCTGTTCCCACAAGTGGGAAGGGCAAAAAGACAGAGAATTAATTGAAAAGGATTAGTAAAAACCTATCAGGAAAGCCTTGGGAATATGTCAAAGGTAATCCAGCTGCTGTTGTGCCTCACAAGACCGTGTCACGCTGGACACTTGTTGCTCTGTGCTTTGTTCTGGGCAGAGGTGTGGCCTGCTCTGTTCAGTCTGCTCAGCCACACCAGGGGACACTCAGCTTCTCCCACGGGAACTGAGAGCAGGAGTCAGCCCTGGGATTTGGGAGATTTGTCTCTTCAGCCACTTTTACCCTAAAAATCAGTGCAGGTAAATCCAGGTGCAGCAGCTGCTGCTCAGGGAAAGGCTCTGTGCAGATCCTGTGGGATGTGGGGTGTGAGCTGCCCCCTCCAGAGAGCTCAGCAGGCCCAGGGTGGGAGGGTGAGAAGGGAGTGAAGGCAGGAGCAGCCCCTGGCCAGGGGGTTGCTCAGCTCTGTGGGGTCAGGATGGCCCTCCCTGCTGGGACACACCTTGGAGCAGCAGCTCCAACCCACGATGGTCACTCACTGACCAGGGGACTGCTCTCCACAGCTGAGGCTCCCTCAGCTGCCAGGCAGGAGCTGAGCACGATGTGCTCAATGTATCACTGTCCACCACAGACCAGGGAAGGCTGAGAATCGTTGTCTGAATTTGAGTTTGTCCACACTGCTTGTTCAGTGCCTGGAATTTGTTCTACAGCAGCAATCTTGTGCCCTGTGGAAGATTATGGCTGTTCCAGCTGGAAGGGAAACCTTCAGCTGGTGAGTGTGGGAAGGAGCTGTAATAGAGCAGGGCAGGACAGATGCACTTGCCACAGATATTTTTCAAACAGAAAAGGAAAATAATATAAAATTGACTTTTCCTTAATTTCCCCTCTGTCTTTCCTTGATGTCATGCCTGAGGGCATAAATGTCTTCAATATAAAAAATATATTGCAGCTCCCCAGGTGATGGCCCTGAGACACAGCCTGAGAAGCAGTGGCATTGTCTGCTTCCCAGAAAAATTCTCTGAGATGCCTTGCTTGCTTTTCTCCTCTCCCCCACTCTTCCCTAGGGCTCTCTGTCTGGCTGCTTCCCTGTGACAGTCCTGAAGGAAGCTACCTTCCCTTCCCTCAGTCCTGAAGGAAGTCAGGCTGGAAGCCTCTCTCACCAGTTCACAGGAAGGTAGTGCTGACTTCTGGAAACACAACGAAATAGGGAAGGTAAGAGGTCCATGCTGGCTTCTGTGAGCACAGAGCCTCTCCCCTGGACATTCCAACCTAGATGGAAACCTGTGGTGATTTTCAGGGCTTCACATTCCCAGAAACTGGCAGCAGTTTCATACAGTAGCTAAAGCAGGAAAGCCCTTAGCAATGGCACTGCCCTTTGGGCTCTAGGAGCAGTCCTCTTTGGAGTGGAGGCCCAGGAGCTCCTCAGCCAAGCTGATGAGACCGTTTTCTTCCAGGGCTGTGATCAGCCGTGCTATTGTGGCCTTCTTGCCCTCTGACTGGATAAACCTGAGGAGCAGCTGATAGGCCTGTTCATAGAGTCCCTCTCGGTCGTACTCCAGGGCCAGGTTGTCAATGACAGGATCACGCAGGGCCCGGCAGCTCTTCTGCAAAGAGCGACCCACCTGCTTCCACTTCTTGGACACGAGCTTGGCAAATTTCTGGTGGTCATCCAGGGTGATTGTTCTGTTGTCTGAAAGGGACAGAGGGCAGGTAAGACACAAGCTTTCGTGGCTGATGTGATGCAGCTTGGGCCAGTCCAAGGTTTGGTCAGTGTTCTGTGGAGCAGGGAAGCTGTTCAGTGTCCACAGCACGTTATTAAACTGCTGTGAAGCTGCTCTGCCTGTCCTCTGGTGTCTCAGCACCAGGGCAGCACTCTGAGGTTGGGGCAGTGAAGCTACAGGGACTGTCCTGCTGGGAGCAGTTCCCCCACCACTGGAAAGGGAAATCCAGCAGGAGTAAGCCTCCCTGCTCACCGTGCATCAGCTGCACATCTCAGTCCTCCACACTCTGCCAGCCCCCAGGGTGCTGCTGGTGCCTCAGGGGGCAAACCTGTAGCACGTGGTGACACAATTACCTGCTCACAGCCGTGTGCCCTGGCACATCTGACCTTCTTGCCTTGCTCATGCTGTTCCCTTATTGAAATCCTCCCACAACGTCATCAGAGCATCTGGGCTTGCCCCTACCCTGCAAGCTTGGCAATGCCTTTTTTCCTTTTCTTGTTTCTCCCCCAGGACTGTGCTGTGGTTTGCCAGAGCTCTTTTTTTCCTGATGGACATCCTCTTCATTTGTTTTAGCCTTTCAAAAGCAACTTGGTAAGTCCAAGTCTCCTGTTCTCTACCTAAGTATCCTCCAAATACTGAAACCTAGACAAGAGCTCTCTCCTCGGCTGTTTAGCACTGGAGCCTGCACACAGCTCAGAAGTGATCTAGCTGATCCAAGCTACCATTGCTATGTGAGACTGTCTGAAAGCTCTCTGTAGGGACAGACCCCAGGGGCAGCTGGTGTACTGCAGGGAGCCTGGACAAATCAGTCCTGTCTAAAAGCAGGGCTGAGGGTGTCCATAGTAATCTCCACAGTCTAATCCCACCTACACTATTAACTCACCTCAGCCAGTGACGTGGAGGAAGAGAAAAATATATTCTTCCTTTCAGTATCAATTTTAAAATGTCGGGAACCTGGAAGGGACACAGACTGCGAAGCATCTGGTTTTGTGCCACCCCAGAAAAGAAAACAGGTTGAGGCCTGATCTGAAGCACTATGACAATATTTTAGGACCATTATAATTCCTTCCTTATGGGATGCTGGGAAATCCTTGATTTATCTGAGGTAGACCCCCAGTGTGCAGTCATGCTAATCCTTCCTCAGGCTGTGAGGCAAGGAAGACCAAGGGTTCTCTTGGTTAGTTCTAACTACTCACCAAACTGCTGTCCCTGAAAGATGAAGGTGCCTGGTGGGGGAAGGGAGCTGCCTTGAGAAGGATAAGGCAGAGATGGGGACTTGAGAGGTGCACAGTCTTTTATAGCCACGTTGTTGTTGATGCTCTGGTGGACAGTCAGGCCCTTGAGGTGTTCCTCCAGCTCCGTGAGCTCCTCATCGCGCAGGCGGTCAGGCTGCAATGCAAACACCATCAGGGACTCCTGCCAGGGTCACCCTCTGCCAAAGCTCTGGGTACTTAGCTGGAAGGTGCAGCTTAAGGTGATGGTGTCAAGAGGGGAGTGATGAGATAGCTACAGCATGAGCTGTAAGCCAGCTAAATGAGACAGTCTGATGGAGCTCTGGCTGTTAATGTGTGAATTTGAATCTGTAATGTGATATGACACAGACCATCTCCCCTCCTGGGTTTCTCCTGTGCAGTGCTTACAAGTTGCACAAAACTGCTTATTTTCAATAGCCTTCTGCAAGAATTAGGATGCACTATAGGCAGCAAGGTTCCTCCAAACTCCACGAGGGTCAGACCCACAGAACAGGGTGACCTGATCCAAAGGCTCATGGCCACCAAAGCAGGCAGCTCCTGTTACCACCTTCTGTCTCTCTCTGTCCCTCTGTTCCCTAAGGTTTGTTGTTCCTGGGTCCTTGCCAAGCCAGTTTTTCTCACTAAGGGAAAACTAGTCTGACCTCCAAAAAGCAGGTAATGGGGAAAGGAGTAAAGAAGGCAAAGCACATGGGAAGAGTCAAACCTGGTGAGTACTCTGACTCAGTCAGAGCTAACCACTAGTTCATCTCATGTGCAGCAGGTCCCAGCACTGCCCTCAGCTGCTGACAGCTGGGCCCCACTTTCTGACTGTGCCCTGTTAGGTGGGGTCAGACTGAGACAATTTTGGGGAACTGAGAATAAGCCCATCTCTTTTGTCCAGTCAGCTAGTTCAGCAGAGGGAGGGAGCAGCAAGCCAAAGCTGACAGGGTATGGGATAACACATTTGGTCCAGGGATGAGAGATCTGTCTCATTCTCTGCTTGCAGAAAAGCAACCTGGCAAAACTTGCTCATGTGCTTATGTTCCTGAATACATGGTGACTACCTATTTCTCAGGACCTTCTAGAAGAACCAGAGGAACCAGAGCTATAGTTCCAGATGGAAAAAAAGGAAGGTGATGAGTTTAATCACATCAGGTGCCTTGCTTTTGTGGTGAGATGACATGATCTCACAGTTCCTGCAGGCAGGACTAGAGTGCCAGTGCCCAAGTGTGTGATGTGGGCTCTGAGGGATGTTGCCTTCAGCAGGGCAGCCCACTGTGTTGGCAGCAGGTGCTGTGTGTCCCCACTCTGTCAGAGGGGGTTGGTGTGATGTGCCCAGTGTTTGCACTCACACTCATTTCTAGGTGCAGTTGCTGTGGCTGCTCTGGGAGCAGGGGGGGTGAGAGGCAGGGCAGGAAGGTGCTGAACAGTGCTGGTTCCACACAGGACTGCTGTCCTCTGTGCCCCTTCACAGATGTACCAGGCACAGCCATGCTCTCAGCTGCACCCTCTAGCACTCCTCATCTTAACGGGGATAGCACCACACTAACTGTTACACACAGGAGCCACAGGGATTCAGCAGGGTCTCTGTAGGATGTTTTAGAGAATGCTACTGCCCTTCTGCAAAAGTGCATGGCTCTTTTCTGGGGAAGGGCAGAGCTGTTTCTCCACATTACAGCTGAGAACTAAAGGAGAAAGTTTGTCAACCCAACATGCTGCATCAGAACAATATCTGCAGCCACCTTCACGAGCCCTGTGCCACCACTCCTCATTGCTGCCTGCCCTCCTTCCCCCTCCCATTCACCTTTTCTCTGTAGATGCACTCCAGGCAACGATCCTCATCCTTCAGCATGTTGTCAAGGTGCTCACTGCCAGCCTTCAGCTCCATTTCCAGAGGCACTGTGGTCATGGCCAAGGAGAGCTGGAGGTGGTTCTGGAGGGCCTTCTGGAGCGTTCCGTCCCGGTAACTGCGCAGGAAGCGGCGGCAGCTCTCCTGCCTGCAGAACTTGAGCTGCACTATCAGCTGGGGGTGGCTGCAGTGCACCTTCAGCATGTCCACACCGTTCATGCTGCCCGTGGAGTCTGGCAGGGAGAAGTGAGCAGAGTCACTATCCAGGCATGAGACAGCCCATCCCAGCCCATCCCAGACCCACTCCCATCCACCACCAAGCCTGCAATGGAGCAGCTTTTGAATTCTCTTTGTGACAGAGTTCTCTGGGATGAAAACCCTGCATGTAAAACCAAAAGGGAAGGATTAAGTTCTCGCTGCCCTGCCACCATGGATCTCCATGAAGTATGGTGTCCAACTGAAGATGTATGGAACTACATCCCAGGTAATTGTATCAACAGTGTTTATTAGGGGAAGTTTTAAATTTGAGGTTCCATTTCCAGGGCTGAGATGGTTATGCTAAACTGGTAGCACAGGAAAGTTTTACAGATGAAAGCTCAGTTCAGCTCAGTGCTCAGTCAGTCTTCAGTCCTTGTGACTGGAGTTTTATGCAGTGATGAAGGTCCTCGAAAGAGACCCAGTGTTTCCTCTCCAGTCTGTGCCTAGAGGTAACTTTGGCTGGTGAATGACAGATCCAGCCACAGGAATTAAGCTGCTTGAGACTGGGCCTTGACTTGTTAAGGTCTTTTGCACAGAGGATTAATTCACAGTAAAATCTTAGCAAGGAGAAGCCAGGGATGTACCCTTAAACATTACTATAGGAGGAGCAGGAGCAATGTGGACAACAGAAATTGCCAGGCTTCCTTTTCCCAGGAAAATTTAATTTTTATTAGCTGTGCACATTGATCTTGTCTCCATAGTGACTTTATATGCTGATGATGACAGTTCAAAGTATGTGGTTTTCCTTTTTTTGCAGCAGAGGCCCATGGGAAGCTGCTGTACTGCTTCCAGACCTGACTCAAACTCTTGGCCTGTCATTACACAGGGCTGTGTGGAGGCACCAGCTCAGACTGGCACTACCTCAGGTATTGCTAAACCACACGTCATGGCATGGAGGACAATCCCAAGGCAAGAACAATCCCATGCTTAGAGGACAATGTGTGCTCCACATTAGGCAGGACAAGTGATCTGCCATCTAACAGTGGCTTTACATGTTTACTGAGTCCTGGTTGCATCAGAAAGTCTAGTTTGGATCAGATGTGTAACTGGGACATGGGGCATTTTAATTCACTGTGGATGACCAGAAGTGTCTTTTTATCTCTTCCTTCATACTTTTTTTTTTGTGAGTGCTTATTAAACAAAAGGTGCCATAACAGGATAAGAGGGATGGGGAGGAAAAGCTGCACAGACATGGAAACCTTTATGAGTAGTGTTCAAGAAGCTGTAAAGCTACCTCAAAAGAGAGGACTTTGCAACTGCCTGTCTTCATGGGGAAGACATGTCCTTCTGTCTGGTGTCTCCCTCTCATTTCAGTGTGTGCTTGTTGCCTCTCGTTCCCCATGCACCACTATGAAGGGCGTGGCTCCATCTCCCCCTCCCCACAGGTATCAGCTGGCTGTTTGGTAGGTCCCCTGAAGCCTTCTCTTCCCCAGGCTGAACAGGTCCAACTCCCTCAGCCTTTCCTCACAGGGTGAACCTCTGCTGAACTTACTCCACTTTGCTGTCTTTCCTAAACAGTGAGGACAAGCTTTCCCTGCCCATGAGTGTGAGATTAGAGAAAGGCCTGGCACTGTGTGAAGAGAGGAGGCAGCACACCAAGGTATAAGAGAGAACAGATACCTGCTAATGCCAGCTTCAGTGCCCTGAACACACCAGGCTTCTCCTGGGAGCTCTCGTAGAGGGATGGCAGAACGATGGTCTTGCTCGTCGACTGGAGGAAGAGGTAAGCACTGCCAATCCAGGGAGTGGAGCTGCCTGCCATCTTCAGCACCCTACAAAATCACACAGCCAGCTGAGAGACCATAGGGAAAATGGCCTGATGCCAGGGGAGTGCTTACAGCACACACTGAGCCACAAGCATGATGGAATTATGGGGATTTACCCTTATTTCTTAGAGCAGTGCTGATGTTGTTAAAGCAACCTTTGAGGAGTTTACTGTTACTCTGCAAAGCACAGCACAGTAGGGACATGGTGTCCCAAAATCAGCAGCTCACAAAGCTTTGCTTTCATTTTCCACTGGAGTCCATTCATTTCATAGTCCAAATATGCTACAAAGCAAAGAGTTTCAGTCCTCAAGAGTTTCAGTCCTCATGCCTCTGACTGACCAGCCAAGCTGACAAACTCTTAAGATGCACAGTTGAGGTGCTCCAGGAGTCCTGGTTCTGGCACTTTCCCATGGACTGAAGCCCTACTGCTGGCAGGGGCATTCTGCCTGAGGTCCCACTCCCCTGGTTGTCTTCAGTAAAGGATATGTTACAGAGCCCAGAGCTCTCACAGCAGAACACTACACAAACAGGGGTAGGGGTAATGGTTTTAAACTAAAAGATGGCAGATTTAGACTAGATATCAGGAAGAAGTTTTTTACAATGAGGGTGGTGAAACACTGGCAAAGATTGCCCAGAGGGCTGGTGGGTGCCCCATCCCTGAAAATATTCAAGGTGAGGTGTGACAGGGCTCTGAGCAACCTGGTCAAGTTGAAGATGTCCCTGCCCACCACAGAGGGATTGGACTATGCCTTGGACGGTCCCTTCCAATCCCAACCATTCCGTGATTCTGTGGCTCAGGACTATTGCTCTGCTTTGCTTGTGCCCTTTGCTGTCGTGTCCCTGCAGTGTTATCCCAGCAGGTGAATTGTGCAGCCCCGTGAGCGCTGCCCGCCCCAGTCCCCACTCCGCACCCTCGTGCTGTCAGAACACCAGCCCCGGGCAGAAAGCCGCCTTTGTGCCCATGGCTGTTGTCCTTCTCGCCGACTCCCGGCAGGGCTCAGGCGCTGCCGCTCCCTGCCCGCCCCGGCCTCGCGCCGCGGGCCGTCCCCGGGGAAGGCGCTGGAGCAGCGCTGTCCTCGGCGGTGCCGCCCGCGGGGACCGGGGTGTGCCCCTGGTGTGCCCCGGGTGTGCCCCGCGTGTGCCCCGGGTGTGCCCCGGGTGTGCCCCAGCCCC